GGATGGAGTTGAACTTAGATAACCAAAATGACTAGATTAGAGAGACATAAGGAACTAAGTGAGCATTAAATACATATTAACCTATAGACCTAAGATTAATTGAGGATTAAATTAGAAAGATAATGTTATGTAATGTTGTTATGTAATAGAAGCTTATAACTTGCAGAGTACAACTAAAAAAATAAAATAAAATGTATGCAAAACTGTTTTCAAGATTCATAGTTTTTGTTGGTAGTTTACATAGTTATTTTGAGATAATTGTATGTTTAATGTGAAAAAAAGCAAATTAGCAAATTGGGATATTCTAATTTCATCATCCCTTATATCCTTGAGAATCAGAATTTTCCATGTGGAATTTCTTCAGAGATTCTGAGTAATATAGAAGAGGTTAATTAAAAACCCTGTAATTCAGAAGTTGAATGAGAAATATTATTATGAACTCATGAAGTATTCTCAGTCTATATATTGAAAAGGACTAGAAACAGCTACCAACCTAGTAGCAAGGAAAGCCCCTAGTGCCCATATTGTCATCTTGAAATCTCAATAAAAGAAACTAGAACTTCTGGAGAAATGGCCAATTCCAGGTCTGAAGCACCTTATGTACAAGTTGAGGTTGCTTAATTTTGCCACATCAAGCAGCAAAGGAAGCTATGTATTGGCCAAAGTGGGTCAGTTTGAGCTTTAATGAAGATTAAAATTGCAGTAGATTAAATCCATCAAATATATTTAAATTCATCTATATATATAAAAGGCTAAGCGACCAGTAGGTATGATGTGCATTGACCACCAGGTGGCAGATGTTCAACGCAGGAGCTGCCAAGCAACAGCAATTTTGTAGGGTGCTCTCTCGCACTCTGGGACCCCTCAGGGGATGTCGGACTGCCAGTGTCAGCCCAAACCCCACAGGCCAGGCTAAGGGACCCCACCTACCAGAGGGACCCTGCTAACTCCACAGATGTCTTTTGAGCCCTGGCACTGCCCCCTGCTGCCAGGGAGGGACCACGGGAGGTTGGCTTCAGGGTGTGTCTGGTCCATCTCACCCAGTCCTGCCCCGCCGGCCACCTTCTAATTAATTTCTTTTGAATGTGCACAAATCCATGCACTGGGCCTCTAGTTAATTTATAATGACACTGAGAAACTGAATAAGTAACTTCTGAGTATAACAGAGAATGAACTTATTATCTTGAAAACTGAGTACATTAAAAGAAAGAAGCAAGTGTTTATCCAGACTTCCCTATATAAACTTATTCATGGTAACTAAATACTGGATGAGAGGAAGAGCTCCTTATAAACTTGCTTAGCTAATAGAAACAAAATGATAGAATTAAAATATATTTTGCAATGCTCAATGAGTTTACAGATGCAGGAACCTCATGAGTATCAACAGCTGCTACCCTCAAAGAAGAGTAATAGCAGACATCATATGCCTCTTGATGACAGAGCACACCACCACCTCTGGTCTTACAAAAGAGATCAAATCTCAGCCTGATGAAGCCTCTGGATTAGCTGCCAATGTGCAAGAAACACAGGGGCTGAACTGCCCTAAGAAAGTACGAGGTCCAGAGTGTGGGAAACTCCACAGGTCAAAAGGCCCAAGTTCTTGAACAGATCATTGCAACAGAAGACTTAAAAGGCACATCAAATTTTTAAAAATGGCAAGATGCACAAGGGAGATAAATTGTAAAGAAACTAGAAAAGGTGATTATATAAAAGTCTATGGGGAAGATTAAAAATGGCGTAGGGTAGGAGGATGCTGCACAGACATGCTCCCAGGAACAAGCTGGAACTACAACTGAAATACGGAAAGGCTTCCTGAATAATCAATGGAAAACTCACAGGAGAGAACCCTGATACCCAAGGACCAAAGTGGAGATTGTATAGAGACTGGAAGGAGGGGTGGAGGCGCGAAAGGGTTGACCTGGCACCCACAGACAGCAACTGAAGTCCCGGAGAGATATCTCAGCTGTGTGTGTGTGTGGGGGGGGGGTTGCCTCTGAGAACTCTGGGATCTAATCCTGAAGCTGGGCCCCCCAGTTGAGAGCACCAACCTGAGGAGGGTACCCATATAACCTCTAGCTGTGAAAAGCAGTGGTAGCTGAAATTTTGGGCACCCTCTTAAAGGGCCAATGCACAAAAATTCCCTGTGGAACCACCCACTTTGTGCTCTGGCAGAGGGAGGATGAAGTGGACTGGAGCTGTGAGAGCAGAAGCCAGGACTGGGGACTTGGGGGATAGAGCTCAGAAGGCAGACACCCCAAGTTTCCTGCGCTGAGTCATTCCCTCACACAGCAGAGGACATCTTTCCCACGTAGAAGAAACAGAGAGAGAAACCTAGCCATACAGAATTAAAATGGCTATAAATAAGTACCTCTCAATAATAACCCTAAATGTAAATGGATTAAATGCTCCAATCAAAAGGTGTAGGGTAGCTGAATGAATACAAAAACATGACCCAACTATATGCCGTCTACAAGAGACCCACTTCAAAACAAAAGACACATAGAGGATGAAAGTGAAGAGATGAGAAAAAATTTTCATGCAAATGGAAAAGAAAAGCTAGAGTAGCAATACTCATATCTGACAAAATAGACTTTAAAAGCATCATGCTAAGCGAAATAAGCAAGTCGGAGAAAGATAAATATCACATGATCTCACTCATTTGTGGAATATAATGAACAACAATAACTGATGAATAAAAATAGAGCCAGAGGGGAAAAATATTCTAGAATATAATAAAAATAATCCTGTTATTTGCAGATTTTTAATATTTCCTACCACTTTTGTGAGATCATACTATGTTAGTACAGTTTTGGTAATATTATTATACTTAAAATCCTTTTATTATTGAAATATTAATGTATATTGAATGTAACATTATCATATGTAAAATCTTTCTTGAATAATTGGTGTTTATTGCATGTAATATTATCATATGTAAAATCTTTTTCTTGAGATATTAATGTTTATTGCATGTAACATTATCATATTTAAAATCATTTTTCTTGAAATAAAAAAACTAGAAAAAAGTCTATGGGGACATCTGTAATAGTGTCAATAAAATAAAGGTGGGGGGGAAGACAGGCACCTGGTTACTTTTGAGAGGGTGGTAGGGGGCTGTGATTGGGATGGAGGCACATGGAAGGACTTCTGGACTGGCTGGCAGAGTTCTAGTTGTTGACTTGGGTGGTGACTGCAAGGATGTTTGCCTCATAATAATTCACCAGTCTATATATTTATTTTGTGTGTTTTTCTGTACCCGTGTTTTATTTTACAATAAAAAGCATGACAAGTACTCTTTTATCTGGAACAGTCTTTTTTTTTTTTTTTTAAGAAAAAAGTCTAAGCAAAGAGATCAGGTAACCTATGAAATATTTCATAGAAGGTACAAACTAAATATTAAGCAAGCCAGGAGGAGCAGCAGGAGGAGGAGGAGGAATTTAAAAGGGCTTTGTAGGTACCCTCCAAAAACAATGAAAGGTTCATAACACAATACAGGTGGCAAAGGAACCCTGGAGCTATAGTTTCAGAGCTGGAAATGCCTCAAAAATAGAAAGAAATAAAAAAAAAAAAGAAAAAAGAAGAAAAGAAAGAAGAAAAAAACCCCAACTCATGGAGTTTCCTCATTTTACAGATTAGAAAACTGAGGTTCCAAGAGTGATTCATGAAAGCCCCACTAGACTAGTCCAGAACCAGATCTAACACTCAGATCTCCCAGTCTGGGACTTTCTTTAAACCACAGAACATACTTCAATTCCTTTACAATTTAATTCCTTCCTTCTTTCCTTTCTGTGGCCGAGTTGAACATTTTATATTTCTCCAGACCATTCCCAAGGTAACGTTTCAAAATGCATCCAAGGTTGCGTCTTCTGGGGAGAACGCTACAGAAATGCTTTGTCAGATTTGGGTCTGGTTAGCTTGACAGCAGAGTCGGGTGGAAGACCCTGGTCTGAACCTTCCAGAGGCTGCCTCCAATCTTAGGACGTTCTCTCTGCTTTCTGTAGCTTCTTCTGCCCTTCTCGCTCCCTGCCTCTTGCCTCACCTACATAAGATTGCTTTCTGCTAAGTAGACTTGTATCATACTTGTATGATACATTTAAGCATTAATAGTAACTGTATACTGCACCGCCATATCTCCCTGAAGCCTCACATTCCTGTAAGGAACTTAGATTTCCCCATTTTAGAGATAAGAAAACGGAGTAACAGAGATCATAAGTACCTAGCCCCAAGTTTCGCAGCTAGAAAGTAAGGAGTAGTGTATTCAACTCCAGAACCCGCATTTTAAGGGACTATATTATCCTGCTTATACAATTTCGTATTTCCTCATTTACTGAGCAAATTGCACATTAACTTGTCTCTTAAAATTTTTTTTTCATTTTATTGATTTTAGAGAGGCAGGAGAAGGGAAAGGAGGGGAGGGAGGGAGTAAGGGGAGGAAGAGGGAGAGGGAGGGAGGGAGGGAGGGAGAGAGAGAGAGAGATTTATCCTGACCAGGATGGAACCTGCAACCTTGGCGCATCAGGACAACGCGCCAACCAAGAGAACGAGTTACATTTTTCATCATACTTTGTTTAAAAAACAATATTGTATTCATTTCGGGGACCTACTCGATTATTTGTTATTGTTTTTGATGGAAAAAGGAACTTCATTAAAAAGTCTACAGAGTTTTTCCAGTGTGTGGTCCTCTTTTGTCCTGGATCGAGTGGCCATCCGGGGAAAATACAAAAACCAGAAAGAGAGTGAGAGAAAGCACCCTCACCGCCACTCACGCGGGGTGGAGGGGTCGGGGCGGTGCGGGGAATGGCCGAGTGGATCCGGCGCGGTGTCGGCTCGGGATCCCCAGCCGCGCCAAGGGCTCCGGGGAGGAGCGCGGGTGGGCGTGGCGGGAAGGGCCGCAGGTCCACTCCCTGAGCGCTATGCAAATGACATGCAAATCAGCGCGTGCGAGCGGGCGCCCGCAGTGTGAGTCCGGACGCGGGGCGTCGCGCTCTCGGTCGCCCGCCTTCACGCGCGTTCGCTCCGGACTCTCCCACTTGCTCGCTCTCTGGCCTGGCCGCTCGCCCCCGCCCCGCTCGGTCCCGCCGGGACGCGCCTCACCGGCTCCCGGCACCACCGAGTCTGCAGCAGCGGCGGCGGAGCGAGCGCTGGCCTCGGCTCCCGGACGCCTTCGCCGCGCGGGTGAGTGAGCCCGTCCCACGCTTTTGTCCCAGCGCGGCCCTGGGAGCGACTCTCCGAGGGTCAGGGTCGGGGTCGGGGTCGGGGGTGGGGACCCTCTCCCGGAGCGCGCCCCGACTCCTTGTTGGAGACAGGTTCCTGCGTGCGGCCAGGAGTTGGCGCGTAAAGGGGCCGCCCCGGACTCCCGGCAGCCGGGTTTCTTTGGGGAGGTGCGGTGCTCGGGACGCGATGCTGTTGTCTCTCTAGCGTTATCCGAAGGACGTGCCTTTGATTTGAAGGGTTCAAATCGCCTCTAGCCCCCAAGGAAGAGAGGCGGGTTCTTTTCCCAGCTCCCCAACCCCTGGCAGGAGGGCTCCGTGACGGCAGCCGCGGGGCCGCGGTGACACAGCCCAAGTGTGAGACCCGGAAAGTAGGGCAGTGAAGGCGGCCGCGGGGTCCCAGGCAGAACTGGGGCGTCGGGCGCTGCCGTCTTGCTCACTGCCTGCTGCTCACTTCAGCCTGCTCTCCTGCTTTGCTCCGGCGGGGGTTCCATGGTTGGAGGACCCTTGTTTGCAGATCATTGCCGTTGGAAAGTTTGGGAGAAAGCCAGCCCCAGGTGTTTGCTGTCCGTGGTTGAGGCAGAGCTCCCTGGAACTTGTGCTACTGTCATGCTAGAAGAGCGAAAGGACCGCATGGAGGAGTGGTATTGGATGCGAAGATGGGCTGGCGGGGAGAGGTTTTCCAGGATGTTTTGTTTGGTTGGAGGGGGGACACACCCTTGAGATGCCGAAGCTCTCCCCAAGTTCAAAGAGCAGAGTCTGTGCACCTCCCCAGCCATAGGGACGGTGCCCTAGAGCTGCATCCCCCTTCCAGGTGGGACTATGGGTTCTTTCCTGCCTTAGGGCAGTCCTTTTGGTTAAAATGCACAACTGTCAGTAAATTAGTTCCAATTGGGGGCCTTGAGAGGCCAGCCCAAGTGTGAGTCCCTCACACTTCAAAGCATCAGCTCTCCACAATGCAAGTCTCTGGGGGAAGTGTAGGTGTTTCTGGAACACAAACTTATTGTGTTCCTAGAAAAGGAGTTTTTCTTTCTCACCCCCCCCCCCCCCCACACACACACACACAAATTTTCTCTTTAATTCTTGACCTCCTTTCCATCTGTTTTCTGTGATCCTGTCCTAGCCTTTTTCCCCTGCATTGCACACTGCGGGGACTGTGGAGGGTGCTGCCGCTGGCCCCACAGTGTCCTAGGCCACCAGTGGAATGTTCTCTCCTGGTGCCCAGAGTGAGGTTGGCCCTTTGTGGACCAAGAGCCTTGAGCCAGAGCAGGTAGGGTAGGAACCTGGGCAGTTGGCCTTGGTGGGAGTGGCTGGACCCTGGGTGCTGGGTTGGGTAGTGGGGACTCTGGGGGCTTGCATAAGAGCCTTTCACCAGGATGCGCATGTCTGTCCCCTCATTCACGAAGGATACAGAAGGATGCTAGTCCTCACACAGCATTAGGCATGAGCTTAGAGAACCACCCACAGTAGTGAAGGATGAATGTGTTTGGTTTCTTATACTCACAGTAACTGGCTAGCTGCGGCCTTTGAGTCATTTTTCTTTGTGTGAGGTTTACTGACCTTGTATCAGGAGCCTGTTTCCCCAGGGGCCAGATCTTGGGGAACATGTACAGAGAAGACTAGGCCCTTGGGAGTTCCCGGTCTAATTGTCAGGTCAGGTGGAGGGATTTTAGATGCAGTGACTATAGGACTGGGGTCCCTGGATGGCAGCTCCAGGGGAGTCTGCTGGGAAGGCTTATCAGAAGAGGATGCTGGCCTCAGGTAGTGCTTGCTGAAGGGAGAGGGGCCCATGCAGTGCCAGAGGTGAGGGAGGGGTCTTGGTCCTGGCTGGGGAGGTCTTCTTCAGCCTCAGAGGAATAGATTATGAATGTTCTGGAGTCACTGTGCGTGTACTTGCTTTCCCCCTAAAATATGAGTCTAGAGCAGCCGTGGGCAAACTACGGCCCGCGGGCCGGATCCGGCCCGTTTGAAATGAATAAAACTAAAAAAAAAAAAAAAGACCATACCCTTTTATGTAATGATGTTTACTTTGAATTTATATTAGTTCACACAAACACTCCATCCATGCTTTTGTTCCGGCCCTCCGGTCCAGTTTAAGAACCCATTGTGGCCCTCGAGTCAAAAAGTTTGCCCACCCCTGGTCTAGAGTCTATGAAACAGAACTAGTTGATTTATTGGCTCTTTGCCTATTAAGAGGGTTAGGGGGTGGAAATTTGAGAATGCAGCCTGGTCTGGGGGTAAGGACCCCATAAACCTTTGGAGTCTTATTTACTGCCTTTCTGAGACATTTCTTGGTATTCTGGAAATATATACCACGGCCTCTTGAAAGCCTGACTATCCTTCCCACAGTTCAAACCAACACACACTGGTTGGAAATTGTTCATGTAAAAAAGTTTCTTATCCTGTCCTTTCTGTAAATGGAGCGACATTTAGAAAACAACCCTTAGAAAATAACCGTTCCCAACAGAAGACATTGTCCTCACCCAACTCGACTTTAGGTCCATCCAGAGGCCCTGAGGTAGGACCATTTGCATGGAAAATGTTCAAGGGGACACCTGAGTGGCAGGTGGGTTCAGAATTAGGGACCCCTCCAGCCAGCAATCCAGAGTGAGGACATCCCAGATGTCACTAGAATAGGCTCCCTACCATGTGACTTCTTCCCACCCCTTTACTCCTCTACCCTGCCACCCGACAAGCACAGAAAGGTGAGTGTGCTGGGCTGGGGTCTGCTGTGTGAGCCACTCACCTCCCACCTGTGCCATTCTGCAGATGAATTCTGTCTCTTTATTGAGTTTTGGGTTGTTTGTTTTAAGCCACCATGTTGAGCACAGAAATGAAGTTTTCCTTACAATCTCAAGGTGAGTGGATCTTGGTGTTTGACACTCTAGGTCAACAGATGCATCCCTCCTGCCTTGTTTTATGCATCTGGTGTGCCAGGGCTGTAGCCCTTGTTAAATGGACAGTGACAGCTAGCCCAGGGGGGCTGGGCAGGAGGCCGCCAGTAAGAACTGCTCCCTGTGTACAGTTGGTGGGGTGGGGATAAGGCTAGATTTCCAGATGCTCACACCACCTTCTTTTCATCGCCCTCCTGCTCACTGTCCCCTGGTGTCTGAAGGTGAATGCTCACAATGGGCACCCCAGTAGGGAGCTGTGGGAATTTTGGTGCAGTTCTGGCTTCTCGAATTTCCCATTGTCCCCATCCCACCACTGTTGGTACTTCTGTCCCCCTTTCTCTTTTCTCTGGGGTCCTGAGCGTAGTGCCCTTTGGAGACAAAAGAAACGAGACGAGGAGAGGATTTTCTTTTCTTTCAGATCTACTTGTTGATTCTCTTCTCTTTACCCACCACCTGGCCCCCAGATCTGATGCTAATTTGTTAATGTAGAACCCGAGTGATTTCTCATAATCTGTTGGGAACCAAACACCTACAGTTTTGAGCTTTCATAGTTGAGAATGCTGCTTATATATTTTTTTGTTTTCAGAGACTGAGACTTCTAGTGAGAGTAGCTCTCCTTCAGATGTACGGCAGGAGGAAGCAGCACAAGGGGAGAATGTGACCTCTGGTGTTAAACTTGGGTTCAGAGCCATTCATTCACTGACTGGCTGGATGTTTCATGGGACTGTATTTAACCTCCGTGAATGACTTCAGTTTCCTCATCTGAAAATGAGGGTGGTTATAAAAATGAAATGAATATGTGAATATCAAGAGGCACAAAGGAAAGAATAGCTATTGCCCGAGTAGTATTCTCTATGCCGATGGAAGGACCTCTACATCAGCCAACAAACATTAATTATGAACCTACTCTCCATCTAGCCCTGTGGAGGGTTATGAAACAACGGCAGTATGCTCAAGAGAATTTGGGTCTGTATGGGGACACAGCTAACACATATGAGGTAATTAGAAGACAGGAACAAGTCCTGTGGTACACACTCAATAGGGAACATATGGGTGGCAAGAAATTCAGGGGCTGGAGTGGTCAGGAAAGGCCTCAAAGATGAGGAGGAGGGAGGGTGGTCATGAGCAGAATCCTGAAGGGAGGGCAGACACTGTCCAGGAGAGAGGAAGGCTGGAACATTTGGCTCCAGTGTTCAGAACTCACAGCCCCTCCTTCCTTGGAACCTGGTGCAACACCTTTGACCCTGTGGTGAGCTCTCAACCATGCAAGACCTGCTTGTCCTGAGATTTATTTTGGGGGTGGTTTTCGTTCCAGGCTTGTTTTCCCTCTGCTGCCCAGGGTATTTCTGGAACAATTTTGTTTTAATTTTATACCAGATCAAAAATAATGAGAAGCAAATCTACTGCCAGAGTGAAAGCCCAGTCCCATGGAAGACTTTTGGGTTTTCAAGGCTTTGTGTTCTTTCCTTATGCTTCACTTATTGTAGCTCATTTTCCAGTTCTGGAATGGCGGGCTTTAGGGCTGCAGGAGACCAGTCCATCTGACACCTGCATTATACTGAGGTGGAAACCCTGGTCTAAGAGGCCCAAATGATGGGTAGGGGTGGGAGGGGGGTGGAGAGAACTGGAAACAGCCAGAATCTTATCACCCCACCCTGATGGAGGATACTGATGGGCATGGTAAGGCCTGATCTGGGCCAGAGCAATGGATGCAAATTGTTTCCATCACTGCTCCACCTGGTTCTCCAGAGTCCTTGAAGTTTGTCCTCTTTAGTTTAAGGGTCTCTGGGGGAGCAGGGGTGAATGTTCCTCTATCTGGCCAGACTCTGATTACTGCCATCTGTCTGCCTCCAGGTCCTTGTATTTGTCCACACAAAGTTCACCTATCCTAAGTCCTAGCTCCCATCCCACTAATATTCAGACTCAATACCTTTGGCTGACACTAGTCTGGGTCTGCCTTGACTCTGGGTCTGCACCATCCTTGACAGGAACTTTCACTCTTATGAACAGTTCGAGGCCCTGGCCTTCTCTACAGACTCTGACAGGAGTGCTCTTCCCTTTTTCTAGGGCT